TGTCTAGTACTTTATTCCTCAGTCTTTCATCCACAATTACAAAATCAATCATACTTCTAGACTCACCCTCATCTCTTGTATACAAATGGATCTTTTTGTGGTCAAACATTGTGTTGGCCACGCACAGATTCCATTCCAAGCATACTTCAAGCAGGCTTCTCCCATTGTCATTCACTCTCTCGTCCCCAAACGTACCCAGAACTCCTTCATACCCATCACGCTTTACTCCAACCCATCCATTAAAGTCCCCTAACATCACGATCCGTTCATTTTCTCCGCATTTATTCAAGACCTCTCTCATGCTATCCCAAAATTCCTCTCTCTCTTGTTGTGTTTTTAATGACCCACCTCCACGCAGATCCGTCGGTGCATAGACCCCAAGGATAAACAAGCGAGTGAGTCCGACTTTTAACCTAATCCAGAGGAGTCTTGGGCTTATACATTCATGCTCCATCATACATTCAACCATTCGAGATGAAAGAATCACACCAACTCCCTGACAGCCTCGGCTGGTTTGGGGGACTCCCGACCAGTATGCCGTGTAGGGGCCATGAACCGTGGTGTCACATCCTTTCCTCTTGGTTTCGTTCACGCACAGAATATCAATGCAACGTTCATCCATCATCTGACATACTTCATCTACCTTACCATCCATTCCTCCTCTTACATTCAACGTAGCGAAGCGGCTCTCCGTGGCCCGCTTTTCGCCCCCGCGAGAAACGAGACGTGATGGGTGGCGAACCACATCGCCGCCATTTTGGTTAATTAAATTATTTTTATGATTATCCATTACGTTCCCACGAATAGCGAGGGAAAGGTTTGTCCCCCCCAGCAGAGCCCCGCATGCCAGGGTAAGGCTAGCCTAATTCTGGGGTCGCCCGGTCCCAGGGCAGTGTGGCACGCTAACGACTAGGCTCGCCCCTAGCCATGCATCCATCCGCGCGGCACGCGTTGGATTGGCGGAGGGTAGGAATAGGAAAAGGGGAAGGATAGGTGGTGTGAAAAGGAAGAGTAAGATAAGTTAGGGTAGGAAATAGGAAATGTAGGATATTACCGTCCAGGAGGGCACGGGATAGGACAGTAATAGCTAGGGAAGCCGGGGTCGCATACCCGTATACCATACCACAACTACCGAAAAAGAAAGAAGAACGAAAAGATGATTTCGATAGGAGGCTCGCTGAAGATTTCCAGTCAAACATTAAGTTTTTCTGGAAAACCATCAAAGCAGCCAGAGGAAAAACTTCTACCTCGGAGCTGAGTACAATCAGGAGTCAAGATGGGAGCATTATAAGGAGAAGAATGTGTGTTAAAGAGATGGAAAGAGTATTTTGAAAGTTTGTTTGAAAGAGAGGAAGTGCAGGTTCAGCATCTGCCACCTTCCACGGAAACTAATATAAATGTTGATGAAAATGAGATAAGCATGGATGAAATAGTGAAAGCGTTGAAAAGTATGAGATTAGGTAAGGCTGCAGGGTATGACAGGATTACCGTCGAGATGCTGAGGGCTGGACAGGACCTGGTGGCTAGTCAGCTGTACCGACTTTTCAATCTATGCTGGCGAAATGGGCAAGTACCGGGAGACTGGTGCAAAGCCGTAATCGTGCCATTGTATAAGGGAAAAGGGTCACGGCAGGACTGCATAAATTACCGCGGTATAAGCCTTCTCAGCGTCGTCGGTAAATTGTATGCGAAAGTGTTGATTGAAAGGATTGTGAATGAAACAGACAAGAAAGTATGGGATGCACAAGCGGGATTTAGAAAGGGAATGGGATGTACGGATCAGGTCTTTTCCTTGCGGTGCATAGCCGAAAAGTATTTGGCTAAAAACAAGAAAGTCTACTGCGCGTTCGTATATCTAGAAAAGGCCTATGATAGAGTGGTGAGGAATGAATTGTGGTCAGCACTGTCCGGGAACGGTGTGAGCAGTATCCTCATACAAGCAATGTAATCTCTTTATAGGGATTCTAGTGCTTGTGTAAGGATAAACGGGGCATACACTCAATGGTTTAATATCGAAAAAGGTGTTAGACAGGGATGTGTAGCGTCACCGTGGCTGTTTAATCTGTTCATGGACAATTGTTTGACAGATTTAAAAGAGAATGAAAGTGGGTTGAGAATGAATGAGTTACTCGTCAAATGTTTTCTCTATGCTGATGACCAAGTATTACTTGCGTCTTCGGCCGAGGAGTTGCAGGAGATGGTAACTGCTATGAGTGGAGCTTTTGTTAGAAAGGGAATGAAGATGAATGTAAGGAAGACGAAAGTGATGGTGTTTGAAAAAGATGAGGCAGTGACAGACTGCAACATTGTGATTGAAGATGAACAAATTGAACAGGTGAAAGAGTTTGTGTATCTGGGTTCAAAGTTTACAAGAGATGGAAAGTGTGAGAGTGATATCGAAAGAAGAGTGAATGCAGGATACATGGTGAATGGAGCTTTGCACTCCTTTATGAGCAGTCGGAAGGTGTCTAACAAGGCTCGTTTGGCTGTGCATGAGGGGGTGTTGGTTCCGACACTCATGTACGGAAGTGAAACTTGGGTATGGCAGAAGAAACATGAAAGCAGAATAAATGCAGTTGAGATGAGAGCATTAAGAAGTATGATAGGAGTTAAACTAAGTGACAGGCTAAGAAATAGTGAGATAAGGAAACGATGTGGTCTGAAAGATGATGTAGTGACAAAAATTGAGAAAGGTATGCTGAGATGGTTTGGCCATGTCGAGAGAATGAATGAAGAACGATTGACGAAAAAAGTGTATAAGGCGAGTGTGAATGAAAGTGTTGGAAGGGGTAGACCTAGGCGGACATTTCTAGACCAAATCAGGGACGTCTTGAAAAAAGGCCAGGTCAAGAGTACCCTAAACCGTAGAGCATGTATGAAGGGAATAATGAAAGTGGACGAAGCAAAACAAGTATGCAAGGATCGTAGCAAGTGGAAAGAACTGGTCTCTGCCTACCCCCACGGGAAAGAGGCGTGATTATATGTTAATAGTCATTGCGCCAAATACGGACTTGCGAATTCAAGTTCAAAAGACAATTGGAGCCAATATTTAAATCGAATAATTTGTTTCGAATGAATGAGTCCTTCCTCTAAATACTCGAGTTACAAACCAGCGTTCAAACCACGTAATTGTCAATGGCGCATGCAATGAACACCAGTAGCCAACTTCGAACTAAGAATACATACCTTGAGGAATACAGAATACATTGTTTCGCTGATACAGGGACGCGCCAAAGAAGAAAGTGCCCTAAATAGTGTTAAGTTACGTCAATATCTTTATATATAAAAATAACGTGTCTCATTGTTTGTCCGTGATGAATTCCTAAACTATTGAACTGATTTTAATGAAATTTTGCACACTGTGTGAAGTTTGGTCCAACTTGAGATAGAGTACTTTTTATCCCGATAAGTGACCTTCAATATTTTTTTATTGCGAATTTAAGGATTTTTCATAGGAAGGGTTGTCGGAAAGGGCAGAAAAACGTCTGCCTGGCCAGCTAGTTTTATATTATATTTAGGTTGAGGTATATAGTATTGCTATGGACCAATGTTCTTAACTTTTAAGTCCTTGATGCCTGAAATAAAGTTATTGTATTGTATTGTATTGTAATATATTTAACTAAAATCTAAAGTATGCATAGTAAAAATGTGTTTTTATTCGATGACTTACATATTACTATTTTACTTTATAATTATAACAATACCAAATATTTCTTTGAGACGATTTTTCAATCATGAAATGAAATATATTCATACAACGAAACAAATTAAGAATTACAGTTTCTTCTAAAATACTTGTATACATATTTCATTAACTTAAAAATAAATTTAAATAGAGGTACATTTACGCACATTATAATATGATATTTCTCACGCTTTTGAATAAAATACTATTGAAATATATTTCCATTGAAACTGAAAAAGCATATTTTAATCGTAAGGAAAATATTTGTGTGGATCGAGGTTGCTTGATTTGAGGTTAACGGGTAATAATTCCGAAATCATTACAATTGTCTTTTTTAAAGGAAATTCACGATGGTCACACAAGCATCGTAAAAATGAAGCAAATAGCGCGAAATTGTGTCTGGTGGGAAACATTAGACGTTGATATCGAGCAAATAATACTTGTATACATATTTCATTAACTTAAAAATAAATTTAAATAGAGGTACATTTACGCACATTATAATATGATATTTCTCACGCTTTTGAATAAAATACTATTGAAATATATTTCCATTGAAACTGAAAAAGCATATTTTAATCGTAAGGAAAATATTTGTGTGGATCGAGGTTGCTTGATTTGAGGTTAACGGGTAACAATAAAAAAAGTTTAAGAGAAAAAATTGTTCCATCCAAAAACGAAATAGAGTTCGTAAAGATCTTTTAAATGGCTAAGTACTAAGATGGTTTATAATAACCTTAAAAAAGTAACTCTGTGTTTTACCCGGAAAGGTAATTTTTGTATTACGATATGATAATTGAAAGAGTCAAGATTATTTTATCACAGACATTTATTTGCAAAGAGGAACATTTTCGTTTACCATTAGTTAAAAGTGAAGTGGCAAATAAACTTACAGTCCACCTGAAGATAAGTGAAACTGCAGTCCTTTAAAACCTGCAAACAACTCCAAACAATGTTACAGATGCGTTGTCACCTCTGAAGACTCGGATGGAATAAATATCTACTATCGTATCTACCACGGCGCAGAGCTCAGTTGTTCGGACTAATTTCAGCCGCTAAATTTCACTTCGTGACAAAACTAGCAATAGATGATTGGTGGTCTACTATTGTGAGATTTATGAAAAGTTTTCTTCCTCGCACAACTTCCTTGTGGAATCGACTACCAGCAGTGATGTTTGTGAACTCATACGATTTAGGGACCTTCAAGAAAATAGTTCCCAATAAAATGGTGTTACTTATCACATATATTTATTAGATTTAATCTAGATTAAATCTAAAACCTAGATTAAATCATTACGGAAATATTGACACCTTATTAGAAAATAAAATTTAGTCTTCAAGCTTTCTCTGCAACGAACAAATCAATTAACTCCTCGGTGTAGATGTCAATTCTGCGGTGGATTGACATTAACGCCAAACCGTTTAGCCTTTCCTGGCCTATGGAGTTTCTCAAATAAGTTTTGAGGCGATTTAGAGAAGAGAAAGTCCTCTCAGAAGTGCATGTAGAAACAGGCAGTGTCGCCAAGATCTTGAAAAGTTTGTGAATGTTTGGAAATAAGGCCAGGTTGCATTCTCAGAGAGATTCAATAGCACATGTTGGTTGATCTAGTTCAGATTCTTCCACTCATTTTATCCCCACATGTCTAATTCAGCTATAACAAAGTCCTTTTCCAAATATTTTTATAGAGCTCAAAATAGTTTTCTTGATAATTTTTGATTAATTTGTTCTTTGCAACACACAGACGGAATCAAATTGTTAAGAGATGATAATGTGGCTTTATGATTTTGGAACTTCGACTGAAGCTGATCAATCAAATAATACAAAAGTGGAATCATTATAGTAATTCTAAAATAAGTTTCAAGATCTTTTGTGTTGTAGTTTGCCCTATGCTCTTGGCGTGACGTTATTCGCGTAATTTTCATTTCCTCGTTTACAGTACTGAGCAAATTCTGTGCATTCTTGAAAAGTTCAGCAAATTTTGCATGAATATTTTGGCGAACATCTTCAATAGTCTTTATAATTAAATTGGCATGTTGTAAAGCTGCTACCAAATCGCATAGGGGAGATTGAAGTATTTTGCATAGTGTCAGTGTGTACGGGAACAACATTCCTAAGCAACATAAGCTTACAACAAAATCACTTAAAATGACTGATCTCAGAAAAGAATTAGCCTTTGACGATGTTTCAGAATTCATTTGACTGATGGTAAAAACTGACTAATCTTCTTCGGCGGCTTGAAATATGTTTTAATGGAAGCACGCTTCAAGATGTAGCCAATCTTGTCAGTGACACCTCTGACATATGGCAGTACAGCAGGCACTCGCTCGACTGTGGCCGGCTTCACTCGTTTACTGTGACGTAGGCGCGGGACCCGAAGCTTATTGTCGTGCAAAACTTGCTTGACGTGTTGGAGCTCGGCGGGCAGGTGTATTTCTGGCACAGATCCCTCGTGCTCTCTGAAACAAAGATTTACCCACGGTAGCTAACTGTAAAGGATGGTGGTGAGAATCACCGTTTAAATATCTATCTGTTGTAGTGTTATACTACTTACGTATCTTTTTACATTATTTTAAATTCATTTTTCCATTCTGTTTCGATTTTCTGCATTCACCTCAAAACTGGATATTTTACATCACCTTTATTTCCATAGGATCCTGTAACGATTTTAAACCATAAGAACACAATAACAAATCATTTCTACTTCGTATTTTCACATTATCAGCACTTTTAAATTGGTGTCAATGGAGTCTACCTTTTTTCGATCTTTTAGCTAGTTTTCCGTAACTCTACAATCTTGGACTTTGTGTGGGCAGTTGCGCTACCTTTTTTCCTATATCAATAATATCTCATTTTCCCCTTAAATCTTACCGTTTTCTTATTATAAACCAAAAACAAAAATTTGACATATTTTGTCTTTCTTATTTATATCGTTTCCATGGTAATTATATTCAAATTTGCTACCGATCTGTTATTCCTATTTCGATAAATTCCACATAAATCCTCTTTTCTCTTGACCATTTACAAAAAATTTGCGTATAATTTAAATAATTTTTCCGTTCTCTCTAGAAAGGTATAAAAGCCGAACAATCGGTGAAGAAAGGCAGTCTCGCTTCAGTTCGCAAATTGGAAGTATCTCCTAAAGGCCTTATCCCGGGGCCGCACTGCCCCGGGATCCTGCAAGCCTCCATTTACACGTGAAGTCTTCGGCGAAGCCTTCTTCAAACTCGGGCCGCGCCACTCCGGAATCCTACAAGCCTCCATCTACCTCGGAAGTCGCTTCGAGTCTACTACAAGCGCGGGGGCCACACTACTCCGGGCACTACTACTACTTACTCCAGGCGCCGAGTGCACCTACCGCCGGCGCTACCTTTGGGCGCTGCAACTGCTAGCTCTAAGCGTTGCGCGCCCCTTCTCCAGGCGCTACGTGCGCCGGCTCCGGACGCTGCGTGTACTGGCTCCAGGCACTGCACGCCGTCGCTGCTAAGAAACCTACTTCTACAAGCGCAAACGGCGTGTGCTGGCTTCAGGCGCTGCGTGCCGTCGCTGCTAAGAAACCTACTTCTACAAACGCAACGTGTGTCGCTTCGACTTTTAGGCCCCACTTCAACACTATATTCCCCTATTCTCTCACCTTTATTTTTTTTATAATCTAATTGTATTCTCACTTCATCCATCATCATCCTCACATCATTTTTTTATAAAATTGTAAATACCTTTTATAAATTTAAATATATTGTTTTCTGGCTCTACTTTTGTTGTTTTGTTGTACTTAGGTTAGGTTCTATTTTTTTTTTTATTTTTTTTTGTCGCTTTACGACACTGTATGGGTCTTTTTTCTATACACAGTGTGGCTCAAGGTGTTATCATGATTCCGAATTACTAACACATCTAGAAAAGCTAAAGAATTGTTTGCCTCTCACTCCATTGTGAACTGAATTTTAGAATTTAAGGAGGTAAGATGGTCTAAAAATGCAGTTACTTTATCTAAAGGTAGAATTGTGAAAGTGTTGTCTACGTACCGCTTGTAGAATCTTGGGTTTATGGGAGAAGTAAGCACGGCTTTCTCCTCAAAGTCTTCCATGAATATATCGGCAACAATGGCACATACAGGTGAGCCCATCGCCACTCCATCTACTTGCTTGTAGAACTCCTCCTTCCACAATAGGTAGCAGATGTAAGGCAGTGTTTGAGTAATACTGCATATTCTACGGGCATGTTGTTTTCCTCTAGCCTTCTAGTAACAATCGAGATGCAGTCTTCAACAGGTAGGCAAGTGAACAGAGACTGCACATCAAAACTCACCATAGTTTCATTGTCTGCCAGATGTAGGTCTTTAATCTCGCTGACAAAATGGTAGGAATCCTTTGTGTGTGTGCTCTTGTATGTCCCTTGAGCGGTGAGAGTATATTCGCTAAGTGTTGAGCCAATCTGTAAGTTGGTGAATCGATTTGGCTCACTATAGGACGTAGTGGAGCATTGGGCTTGTGTATTTTTGGTAACTCATACAACTTGTAGGGTTTAGCACACGTAGGTATTATCGATTTTACGTCTAGATTTAATTTTAACCATTTAATAATAAACCAGAACTCACGATTCTACGCGCAGATAAGGGAAATGCCACGGTAGTCATGGATACGTCAGTATATAATTCTAAAATACAAGAACTTTTGTCGGAAGTAAGTACATATAAAAAGGTTAAAAATGACCCAACAAATAACACACTTAAAACAACTAGTGACCTCATAAAGAAACACTCCGAAAAATTAAATCTAGATGTATCCACAAGTATTCTGCCTAAAAGCCTATCTGGATAGGTGTCATCTTCTTACCCATTTTTGTCGCTAAACTGCAGTGCGTACATTCCTGTGTTTCGGTCAAGGGTACAGAGAGTCAGAATAACTAGAGTCTGTGAATGATTATATCTTAGTCCGCAGAGATAACACGGCATCAGTAGACTTCTTTACCTGAAGCTGGTTGTAAGTGTCCATGGGTAAGTGTGACTTGTATGTAGACTGTAAGTACGTTTGTCATTTAAATAGAAAAAAAAATGTTAAGTCCGTCAATGATTGCGCGTTTTTTAGTAAGGAGATATTTACTGTTGCTTTTTTTTTCTTTTGAAATTTTTGAAATTTGAACTGTGCAGCTTAGAGACTCTTGCTATTTGTTTCTAGTGCACAATCAATTAGAGATGTATGCGTGTTGGCATCTCTGAAATTTTCACCATTACAACTCTTTACCAGTTCACCTAAGTAATGCCATAAAACACGGTTCTGAACCATTTGCATCTATCAACTTTCCACAAGTCTTACCCGGTTCTCACTCCATCTAGTGCCACTCAAGAACTTTCCTTTCCCGTTGGTTATCGGTTCTTTGACACTTTGAGCTGTATGTAGAGCCGGCTCATTGGCATTACAGCTTAATGATCAGCTAGGCTATTTCGGTTACTCTGGTTCTATTGAGACTATTGTCCAAAATTTAAATACCGATATTCGAGGTGACGGAGAACATATTGAGAAAGCCTGTCAGAGCCTCTAGACAGATTTGAGGACATGTGAAGTTTATGTTCATTCTTCATGTACTTAAATTGAGGTTAATAAAAAGTTAATAAATTTAATCTTTGCATATATATATATTACTAAAATGTAGTTTAATTTTTCGAATGTTCATAAATTAACTTTTTAATTAAAAGTTTAATATTCATAATAACATTAACGAAGGTCTTTAATACTTTGACAAGAGTTATATAAATTACAAAGGATTAAGAACCTTTAATTAAAATAAATACTTGCTCTATCTTTATGCTTTTATTGCAAAACGAGCTGCGCCCCCCGACTTCATCCGCGTGGAATTTATTACGATTGGAATTTTTATAAAAACTTTTAGAAACTTCTTATAAAATCAGCTATCTGCCGTGAATGCCCTGTCAACATCGGTCAGAGATTTCGGAGATTTTACAAAACATACTGGACATAAATTTAAGAAATCGTTTTTTTTTGTCATAATTACTATATATACTTTCATATGCATTCAGTAAAAAGTTGTAATTTTGACATTACAAACAGACGCTTTCATTTTATTTATTTGTATATGTGTATAGATCAAACTTTTAATGAAAATAAAAGTCGCCCTCAATGGTATAAAAATATTAAATAAAATGTTTCAAAATAGGCCAGGTCTATATACACCACTACTTTAAAAAAAGAGAAAAATCTGTAAAATTCGGGAAAAATACAGATAATTCATTTTATCCTGTCGTGGTAAACAATTGATGTTTATCAATTATTTTAATCGACTTTCAACATGGCATCTCACTGATTTAATTACTCTGTGCTTATAGACAATGACAGTAATCCGTACAGCGTAGATTGACATATAGCGACCTTTGATCATAGAAACAGGACTGTCAGTTGTCACAACAGTGTCACTTTTCAGTGAATGAAGTGTCACTTACGTCTCGTCCCACAGAAATAAACATGTCAAACGTCACTAATCCATAAAAATTACAGCTTACCGCCATGACGAGTTTATGTTGTGTGTTGTAGTTTCAAGTGTAATTTGTTGTGCTTTACCAGCAAACAAAGCCATTATAAAATAAATTGGACAGTTGAGAGCTGCTAAAAATATGTTTCCCTATTTTTGAGTATAGTATGCAAGGAACTGGCCCAGGATCCATACATTTTTGAACATCTAAGTTAGCTTCTGCAGTCTATGTGTTACGGCCTACGGCTGCTCCCTTAAAGGATCAGATCCTCAGGGGCCCATGAGCTGAAGACTTCCCGAGCAGACGTAGGTCGGGCTCAATGTGGCCACGTGGAAATTTTCTGATGGAAACAAACGAGGGGAAATGTTACTACGATAAAGGCACTCACCTGCTCCAGGAGCGGAGACGATTCTCCGAGACCGGCCCGGCTGATGACAGTGTCGTGAGTGTAGGTGTAATTGTATGTGCGTGTATGTTGACGGGCCCTGACCTGGATGTCGCAATGCCGTCCGGGAGAAGGTATGCGCTGGTATCTTCGGAACTTTCCCCCTCTGGAGGCGCTCTTCCTGGTTTGTCACGAAATGGGACAGCTACACGTAGCACTTCAGAGGTAAATCACTAGTATGGTTGCACAATGAATTTAACAGAGTTATTAGTTCCTGATTAACGATAAGGATCTCGCAACGATCTACACGGTGGATACTTTCGCAACAA